ATCGAGACAGTTTCTCTTGGCCTCAGGAAAATGCTCAGCTCCGCCTGTCGTCGGTCGTCAGGGGCGCTGCTGCGATTAGCTTTCGTCGGCCCGATGACCACGGCGAACAGGCCCTCTTCAGTGGGGGTCGTGATACCGTGACAAGCCTTGAGGGCACGGACCTCGCGAGGATCAGTCACGACGCTCAGAGCTCCGCTGACGGTAAAATGGAGGGGATCAGAAGGTTGGCATACCAAGATAATACCTCAGACACTACTCATAGCGAATATGAGTAATATTTAAACGAAAATGGCAATTTGCAATAGGCAAAGTTTATCCTCAAGGTCACACTTGAAGTGACACCAGAATGGAAAAACCTTTAGGATTGTTGAGCGTACTTCCATTTCGTGTGAAAGTGTTTAATGAAGAAATATGAAAGCTGATCTCACCATATTCCTCTTGACCAGCTGGAACATTTTTGTTGCCACAGTTTCCGAGGTAAGCTCCTTCGATTCCGATGCAAACGTGTCAAGCTTTCGCACGTCGTATGCGGACATCATCATAGTAAAAAAGGGTATCATCCTTACAACACTATTCCAGCTATCGAGTAGAGAAAACTCATCGGCTCATCCATAAAATGCAGTTTATATACTCTATACCTGAGCTCTGATAAAGTATAAAGTAATTTGGCTAGTTCTAGTAACATGTCAAACTTGAAACATGCGAGTGTGCCTACATGTGTATGTGTATGTGCCTGCATGGGCTAGCGCATATGTGCGAAACGAGTAGTGATGGCTCAAAGTAATTAGACAACAAGTAATGTCTTTTCTCGGCCATCAAGGTTTGATGAAGACCATCAACCTTCTCTCAAAATATGTTAACGCTTACTCTGATTGTGCACGGTCGGACACAAGTCTGGTGTACATGTACATGTCAAATGAACATAAAAGTGACCGTGATGATTATCCCCTAGGCCTGACAGAAAATAACAGTCTATTAATAAAGAATACCTCTTTGAATCATGAATACGTGAGGAGAGTTGTTTTGTCTTTATCTTAGTGCATTCTGTATAAAACGACTGGGGAATAAATAGGGTTTTCAGGGAAGCTACGACATTTGCTTCAGTTGTGCCCACTTTGAGAGAGTAATTTGATCCATTACCCAGATTGAGTTGCTATGACATAATATGTCGATGTGGTGGTTTGTCCTCTCATTTTACAAAAATCAGAGCCAACAAATTGCCCGGCAGAGACTGGATATGCTGAGGAATGGTATCAAAATAGACGTTTTGCAGAATATCATAGCATTATTTAGGAAAACTTCATTTCATATAAAAATGTATGATGAGGAGATTTGAAGGTTGATTTCATGAGAAGACGACCTCTTGGTTTTGATACGACGTTCAGTTTGACACATTCCACAAGAAATCGGGCGAAAAAGAGCTGAGATTCCGTCCATCATATGATGAACATCATCACAGCTGGAACGAATTGTTGTAAAAGTCTTAAATCAACAAATACCAAGTCGAGAAAACCATTCGGCTCCATGTTGATTCTTGTATTACTCATAAGTAGAAAATTAAACTGTATAGGTAGCTATAAAATGTTGGCCATGATACTTTTATTCCTGTGCCTATGTCAACGTATATACGCAATACTGGTTCTAGATGAGAGTGATCAAAAAGCTAATGTCACTCTTTAGTCGTCAAGGTTTAATAACCCAAAAGAAAGCCTCAACCGACATTGCGTAAATCCGTAAGCAAGTATGATCGAAATGATGGGATGTAAGCTTGTAAGCTTGCAAGTCAGGCCACGAAACCACCAGTCCTTAAGGTTTAACAACCCAAAGAAATGCAGTACTGGGGCTCGGTTGATGAGCTTAATCGAACATTTTAGACAAGTTTTAGTGAAGTTATGACCATCGCCACCATTGCTCATATTCAACGTATTTCCTAATTCATCAATTTCAATATCCTTTCTCATGTTCCTTTTCACAGCAGATGTACCGTAATCAGAAAAACCTGTCG